TATAGCGAGTAGGAGTTAAGATACTTTTGAAAAGATGTGATAATGAACAAAAAATGATGAAATTCCTCTTTAAGGGCACTGGATAGGCTCGGGACTTTTGAATAAATTCCTGAAAATATAATGATTAATCTTAAAACTGACAATGAGAATCTTTACATAAATCTGCACAACTCCATCCTTTACAGCCTAAGATTGGGAATAAAAAACAGCCAGAGAACCACACTTGGAGATCTCAATCATACAGATAAGAGTTGTAAATTATGAAAAGATAACTCCTGTTATCTATCCAACAAAGTTGCCATATTTTCTCTGGAGAAAAAGGCACAGAGAGACCTATAGATAATGATAGATGGGAATTATCAAATTTGGACAATAATCTAGTGCAATCTGAAAGTCAACTGGTAATATGTATCAGCAATTACATCTTTGGGAGTTTATCTTAAAAGATGATATGTGTGAATAATGAGTTAATAAAAGACAAGCTCACTGTCATACTATTTATAATATCAAGGTAACAGAAACACTTTACCATAAAGAACACACACAGCAGTTAAATGACACACCATCTTAAAAAGGCAAACAGGGACAAGGTAAGATGGACATATGTTATAAAAAAAGGACTGGATGTAAAATGATACATGGAAACAAAGCACAGAGCTAAGCTTTTTGCTTAAGTAGGTTTTATTATGATGAAAATGGATGATGTTCATAATAATAAAAAGTATTAAAAGATTACGATTCCTGAAAAATGGAAAAACTAAAAAATTTTAGATTGATATTTACAGTTCAAGAAATATTTTTAAAACTTAATGAGTAATGTTGACTTTTTTGCAAAAACCACAAAACACAGTTCTATCTTATCAGATTAATTCTGAACTTCAAGTCAATATTTTTCAATGGAAATACATAAAATTTTTAAAAAATGGAAGCAGAGGAAAGATTCCTTAATGCTCCCACATTCTTTACTATGTCCTTGAATAATTGTAATTTGATATATCAATAGCCATCAAAAAGTTAAATGCAAAAATACCTTCAGCAATATTTTTTATTCTGCAATTCCAGTGCTATGTATTTAAAAGCTATATTTAAAAAGCACAACATTAGTAACTTCTAACCATTAACTGTCTCAAAACAAACTTAACCTTAAGCATTTAAAAGAACAGAAGTTGAACTTTTGGGGGGTGGGGTGGGGGGGTGAGGTATCTATTAAGTAACCACTCTTGAAAAACCTAAAAAATACTGTCTAGGAAAAAGAGGGACAGACCTAAATGCAAAAAGTGTATCAAAAAAACAGGAAAGGGGGCAGTAAACTAAGAAATATCTACTGAGCAAAATGTTGTCGTTTGAAATATTAAGTATGTAGGCAGACTATGTGTAAGTGGTAAGAATGTAAAACTGCACATACACAATAATTATGATTGGCTATAATTATTAAAAAACAACAAAAGAAAACACCGAGAAAGTAATACAAACAAAATCTGTAGAACTGAAAATGGGTAAGACAAACAATCCAGCAGAATAGGAAAGGGACTGCACTCCCATATAGACATGTGAATTTTTAAGAATTAAGTATGAGTTTAAAAGAGCAAAGCCTTTTGGGGGGCTTAAGCATTACTATCAACTCTTAAACATATATTCCCTTTGGTTCAGCTATGTTATTCTACTTCTGAGAATCAATTCTGTTTATAAACTTGCACAACTGTACAAACCTCCATCAGCAGGACTTTTCTTTACTATTATAATGCACGAAAATAACAAGTGCAAGTCAATGTGTATAATCTAACACCCTAAGAAGACAGACAGACTGAAATATACAACTCACATAATGAACACTATGCACTCATTTTTAAAAAAGATGGTGATCCAAGTGTACTGATGTTAAGAGTATAAAAAAACACTACTGGTAACTTTTTGATCTTGACTTCTAGAACCTGGAACCAAAATATATTTTAGCTCTTCTTTTTAGAAGCCATCAAATTGCAATTTCCAATTTTCTCTGGGAATCTATTCCATAAACTAGAAAATCTGCTTTCTATGAAAGTCTAGCAAATTTTAAGTGTATCAATGTACCATGTGATAAATGGGGACTTTACAAAAGCTTCTTTCCTTACAACAAACACGTAATAAAAGAGTAATCAAAACTGAGCAACAAAGACATTTGAGTTTAGAAGAATTTCTGATCTCTGTACTGTAGAGATATCAAAGTCAAAAATTTAATTCCTCTATTCATGTGTCTTCCAAGATAATAAGATGAACAAGAGGTTATGCAAAATTTCCAGCTTTTGAATACTACTATGACGTCCAAAAATCTACAAAATGGATTTTATAAATACTTATCTTAAAGTCTATTTAACAGTTATCTGAGTAATAACCAGCTAAAGTCAGTCACTTTTCAAAAATAATAATTTATAAAACTTTTTAAAGCACTTCATGTTTTTATTATGAATGCTTTAATAGAGGCATCTTTAAGAAACTTGAAATAGTCACAATTTTTTACTTAACTGAAATTTTTGCATGTCCATTTTCAAAAACAAAAAAAGAGCTATTAGTGATATCAGTAGTTGGTCACTCACAGCTGATGTTCACAGATGCACAATAACTGAAATCTTACTTATTAAGTACTATCAGTCAACTAGTTAGTAACTAAATCTTGGCCTTAATCTCAACTAAGTGATACAACCTACTTGGTACAACACATCTTAAACCATTTTCATGTCTTCTGACAAAGGAATCGTGTAGTTCTAAATTATAACTCTTACAAAGAGCTCTATGGAATAACTTCCTTGTTTATTAGCAATCTAAATACATCTTTAATTATAAAAAACGTTCAATATAATTTAGGAGGGGGGCTTCCCTACAGGCACAAGGGGTTAACTCTCAGCACTATGAAGCTATCACCAGCCATTGTGGCATGAGTTCAATCCTCAGCCAGGGAGCTGACCCACATGGCACAGCAGATCTCTCCATCTGCTATTCCACTCAGCAGTGTTTTTGAGTAGATCCTCTTGTTCTGCTCCCCACTCTCTCTCTAATGGATCCTCTCAACCCCTGCACTTATAGTCTATATCCCAGCTCTTATATGCATAAATAAATAAATCTTAAAAAATTTTTTTATTATATAAGTTAGGTGGGTTTTTTTTAATGATAAAATCCTCATTGATAGAAGTCCCTATAAAACTTTATCTCAAGAGTGATTGCCTCCAGAAAGGAGGAAGCAGAAAGAGTTGGAGAGATGATTTTAGCTTTTGCCTTAATCTTATGTTCAAGTAGTAACTATGTCATTTTAGAGGCAGATTCTCTGAGTTCTGAACAATTCACTAACCCTGTGAAGTTACTGGGTAAGTTATTTAATCTGTTGTAGTTCAATCTCCTTGTCTGTAAAATGGGGCAATTAATACTTCCTGCTATATAGGATTAAATCAGTTGATATGTGTTAAATGCTTAGAATAGCACTTAACTTCTGATACAGCCAAATATTATTATCAGGTATCACTTAACACACTATCAACTGTGAAATCTGATTAGAAAATACAGGGGGAATGAGAGGTTGGGTACTATCTCATCTATTTTCCACACACACACTTCAAAATATAAAATGTTTGTAACCAGTGACATTTAACCAATTTAAGTGAGAGAGCAGTATAAAGTATAATAACAGTCTTCTTTTGATTTTCAAAAACATGAGACAATACAAGCTTTGGAGTTTGATATTTATTTTTAGCAGGAAGAATATGCTAATGATGATGACATCGTTAGAAGATACGCCCATGTCCAATATCTGCAACAGAAGCTCAATACAAGTTAAACAAACCGAAAGACTGAAGACAAACTGCATGACATTACTTACCCTTACTTCTGCTAATAAACAATGTTTAATATTGAAACTCCATCACAAGATCAAAAGCTGACAAATTAAATATGAAATATATCTTTAAAAAAAGTCCACCTTTTCTTTCTACGTAGACACAGCCAGCCTCTTTAAAAGTAGAGCATGGTGCCAATGACTGTGCTCTGTGAGTATATATGTGCAAAGGACAGACAAATTGAAAAGGGGCAATGAAAACTTAAAAGCATTCAGGGTTGTAGAGCTCTGCTTCTGGTATTATTTAATCAAGTTACTGCTTTGACAGGTAGAAAAAGCAACCTGTCTTTGGCCCACTTAGACACTGCTGAAGCAATAACTGAACATTAGTAAAAGCAACTTAACAGAGTTATACCTATAGCAACTTAAAAATTTATACAACTGCCTCTAAATACAGGCATCCAAACAAATTAAGAGATTCTCCTACAGATAGAAAAGCAACTGCCATGGCATTAAACAATTTGAAAAAAATTATCCAATTAGTCTTTTAAATAAAACCAAAACTGGTTTTTCCAGTACTGACAGCTCCTAACTTTGCTCAAAGCAATATGAAAGTATTCTGTTTTGATTTTTTTTACCTATGCACTGCCAGATATCTCACCAACAGTATCAATTATCACCCAATGTAGAGAAGCAATGACTTTCTACTCAAGGGTGTACACCTACAGGGAGGTGGAATGGGAATATAAGTGGTAAGTATCAGGTCAGGTATAACAAAGAAGTAATCTCAAGACTACCTTCCGGAGCAAAACTGATAAGCTTCTGAGGGCAGAGAGACTGGAAGCTAAAATATCCATAACAAATTCTACAGCCAAAGAGATTGTATGTATTCACAACAGGAGTTAAATAAGTGCAACCATAATTTACTGTAGTTGACAACAGATTTTTATACCAACTGCTGTTTTCCCATTAATTTTTGTTCTTGAATATAAGGATTTATACTGAAAGTATACAAACGCATTAATGTAAGGATGTGCTTACCTGAGCCACTATTAATGCAAGGATATGCTTACCTGGGCCACTTTAAAAATGCTATGTCAAAAAAGCGCAAAATGTGCAGAAACAGTGAGATATTTAAAAACTCCTACCAAAATATAAATTAAATAAATAAGCACTATAAAAGGAAAAGGTTACGCACTTCCAATTTATGCTCTTTCTCTGCAAGGGCTTCCTTTTGACAACGAAGAAAATCTGCTAACATTCGAGTGAGTTGTTTCCTATCATCTATTTCAGCCGCCAATCTGCCATTGTAATCTGCCAGCAACATACAAGCATCTTCTACCATTTTAGAAAGCCTTTCTCCAGATTCTTTGTCTAAGAAAAGCACAGAAAAATAAAATTATTAGAGAATAATAAATAAAATTGTTAGATAACTCTAAATTGCCAAGTCCTATTCTCTTTTCTTACCTGTTATTTTATCTAGTAGGGATACTTCTTGGACTTCAACAGGCAAAGAAGCTATCCTCTGGTGTACTGCTGCATCACCTGAAGCTGCATTTTCTAGATCTTGTAATGCTCTAACGAGATCTAGAGTCTAAAAAAGTTGTACAACTTCAGAAACAAAATAAATGAAGCTTAAGCAAATACAAAAGACTAAAGTTTATTTCATAGTCCCTAAACCTTACTAGATATTTACTAGTTCTAAATTTCTACCATAAGCTGTTTTCAAACACAGTTCACATTCTTTACATATTAAGGGAAAAAAAGCTAAACTGTGTTAGGTTTTGGAAATAATTGTGCCATGACCCTAGTTTGAGAAGTTCACTTTTCTCTTCAGTGGTAGAAACAGATAATGAAAAATCAATCATCCAATTATTAAAATGATGTGAATAATTTAGATGACTACCACATACAGTGGGTAAAAGGGAAAAAAGCAAGCTAAAGTTTCAACTTAGAGAACACAAGTTTTATGTGTAATCTATTTGTCCTATTATCACTGCATATAAAAATTAATTTTTTTAATATTAAACTGGATAATGGATGAAGAGGGATAACAACTTCGTAAGTGGGAACCTCCTGGAATCCACAACTAAATTCATAATTAAAGCACAAGAGAAATGTAGTTTTGGAATACTTTTAAATATGACACTTTTAACTATTCTGTGGTTTATTAATAAAGTAATTAGAATATTACAAAGTTACATGATGACTAATATTGATATAATGTTCAGTGTAAAAATTATTCTCATTAGAATACTTTTGTTGTACTTTTTTCATACCAGCTATAATTACGAGGAAAGAGCATCCTTTGCTGGTGATCTCATAATTCATGATGTTTATAAAACTCCAAAAGGAGCAAATTTTCTTTTTATCAGGATCCATTCTCATCCCACCTTTCTCTCAGTTTTTAATCTGTAAATTACACATGCTTGAAATTTGTAGTACATTATTAATTCTGTACATGGACTAGGACACTGACAGACAACCTAAGCCAGCCCCTTACAAAAAAAATGCTGTCATTAGGGTCTACCACAGAGCAACTGATATTTAAGAATGACTGAACCTGGGCCCTCCCTGGTGGTGCAGCTGGTTAGAGCACAGCACTAAGAAGCTAAAGCCACTTCAGCATGAGTTCGATCCCCGCCCCAAGCTGATCCACATGGCACAGCAGACCTCTCCTGACCAGCCCGCTGCTCCCCTCAGCAATGTGCTTCAGTCACCCTGTTCTGCTCCCCACTCTGTTTCTGGTGAATGCTCTCACCACCCCTGCATCTCTGGCCTGTACCCAATTCTGTATGCATAAATAAATAAATCTTAAAAAAAAAAGATTGAACCTAAAAAAAAATAAACTATCTTTAGTGTCCTTTTAATTCATTATATATATTTAAAATCCCAACATTTAAAAAAATAATTTTACTCTAAGATATTTCCCCTCTACAAGGAAAGTAAGCTCAAAAGCAGTAACAATTTCCAGGCCTTTTGTTTCTTCTGGTACCCCAATAAACTGACATATTACTTTTTAGTCAGTCATAAAATACTAAAATTTTCTGGAGTTCTAGAAGGAATCTGGCTTTAAGATCTTGACAATATTTACATCTCAATATACCTTCACAATTCTACGTGAGTTACTTCTAAGCTCTCAAAGTTGGAGTCAAGAATCGGAACAAAGATGGGCCTCCCTGGGTGGCACATCGGCTTAAAGCACAGCACATGAAGCTATCAACAGTCACTGCAGAACAAGTTGGATCCCTGGCCAGGAAGGTGACCCACATGACATAGCAGATATCTCCCAACCCACCCACTACTCCCCTCAGCAGAGTATTTCAGTTGATCTGTCTGTTCTGCTCGCCACCCTGTCTCTGGTGAATCCTCTCACCCGCTACACATCTGGCCTGTACCTCAGTTATTGTATGCATAAATAAATAAATCTTTTTAAAAAACAAAGTTGTCTTTGTTTACTAGCATTTCCTAATAGAGAAGAATGAGTTCAATCCAGAGATCTTAACTTTTCTTATAAAGATGTAAACAAAACAATGACTACAAGGTTGAACCACTGAGATTTAAGCACAGCTAATCTAAAAATGGCCATAAAATGAAAATAGTATTTTATACAAATACTAAAGAATAATCTTAGTCAAAGATACATCAAAAAAATGCAATTGAAGATTACTCTCTTGTTGGACAGTGGTAGAAAATCAAAGCCTCTATCTTGAACTTAGGTGAAAAACTGTGTACTTGAAATCTCACTTTTCAACTTATTACCAAATCTTGCCTGGTTATTCTAAATGTTATGTTCTCATTACTGTCTAGTCATGGATTCCTGCCCATGTTGACCACTTGAACTTCACTCAGCATTCCTACAACTGAGCCAACTGCCTCAGGACCTAGCTGACTGACTTGGTAAAATTCTTTCTGCCTCTCTAGTACTACCAGTAATATAAATCCATAGTTCTAGGCAGGAATTACTTGCATCGTTCTTTCAAGCTTTAGTCATATTGGAAAAGAGCTCCACTCAACCTTTGGTTTCATGCAGTGAGTTTGGGTCCAGCTCTCTATTGAAATGCTCTGACTTTTATTACCTTACAGGATACTGATTTCTAGCAACCCATGTCTACTTCTGGACCAAAGCTCAGCAGGAACCAGTCTCTGGATCACACACTGAGCTGTGCTTCTATACCATTTTCTAGCCCACAAAGATATTTACCTTGTTTTATGAGTATGGCTATGTCTTCATTTTCTCCTTTTTAATTTTATCTGTCCCTCCTATATGTTTGAAACATAGAAGGAGGAATTTTTAAGACTCAATGTCCATGGAATTAGAAGTTAAAATTGTCTGTCTAGAATTCATCCGATGGTTAAGTAATGTTTACACTATACCAATCAGGAAGGACACAGGTATTAAGGTGATTCTCATCCATCTATCATGGAATTACATAGTTCTAATATTATTACACAGAACTGTACAAATGCATACTTGTTACTGTAACACTCATTTTTACCTTGTGGTACTTTTAAAAGCACCATTTTAAAAGGTGCTTTTAAAGGCAATGCTTATCTCTAAGAATAGGATTTGTACTTAACTCATACAATAACACAGTCTTATTTAATATTTTTTTACAAGAAAACTTTAAGTGGTAGCTATTAATCCATATTTAATCATACTCAGCAATCAGAAATCCTTTCTATTCATATATTTTCCAACATATGGTACACAACATAATTCATTGAACATAAGCAATTTACTAACCATAAAATTAAAAAATGCTCATGTAGCTTCTTTCTTAAATCCAACTTACAGTAGTCAAGCACTGAAATAAAGCTTGGTGACCACAATAACACTAACAAGATTCTCTTAACAGAAAAATACTTCTACCTGTGGTGGTTCACTTGGAGATCCCAGAGAGGAACAGTTTTCATTTTCATCCACCTTTATCTGTTCATAAGTTCTCTTCCTAGGCTTCCTGTCACCATCTGAATTGAAAGGACATTTAAGTTTCAATGAAAGAATACATTTTAATGACAAGATCATGAAAAAAGATTGTATACTTACACAGAGCTTGCTTAAGTTGTTCTAATACATCATTTTCATAAACAGATCTTTCTTCCCAAATAGACAACACTCGTCCAAGGTGCTTCTTACAACTTTCATCAGTTTCACTAAAGATAAAATATCAATAGTAAAAATGCATGGTGCTATTAAAATAGTAATGGTGATTTTAAATATAATCAGATATTCATTATGGGAGAGTAGATGAGGGGGGCATGAAAGGTGGACTGTTCAAACTATATTTAGCACTACTATGTAGCCAGCAGCCAGCAGTTAAGGGGCAAAGTGACCGAGACAGACATACTCTTTGCTTTCCTTGTCTCTCTACGTGCAGAGATAATAGTAAACAAAAAAACACAAAAATCCGTGAAAGTGTTAATAGCAGCTAGTAAGGGTTTACAAACAAGATGCTTCTAGCACAACAAGGACTGAATGTAAGGCTACGGAAGATTTCTAATGGATGATTTTTAATTTAATTAACAAGTATTTATTGATCAAAGCAATTTATTTAATACTGGAGACACACATGGAGCTTTATGGCAGCTATTATTTATAAATGATACAAAATAAAACAAGGTTGAAGATATGAATAACAGAAAGGCCAGTTGCAAGAGTTAGGATATTGAGAAGCAGTACTAATCTGCTATCAGATTATTAGATGTAGAGAAACAGAAAAACAGACTACTCCCAAATAATTCCTATCTCCTTCATTATCAAACTGTTGATAGATTTCTTTCTGTCTTTTCATTGGCCTCCCAAGCTCTATCTATCTACTTCACTCCATTCTTTACTAAGTATCCTACTAATGTCAATCACACCATAGAAGAGCTAATCATCTTAACAATAGTTAAAACCAAAATCCTTATCCTGGGTTACAAAGTAGACATGTTTCTATTTCTGGGCTAATTCTCAGGGTACATTCACTAAATATCTTGTTCCATAAAAATAAAATCTTCTCAACATGCCCAGCACACAGTTATCTCATTATTGCCAAATAATCTCTCTACTGAGACTCCTTTTCCTCCCAGATAGTCAAAAGATTCACTTTGCCCTTTTTCTATTCTATGCTGCTTCCAAAAAATAGTCACTTTTTTTGATTATATAGCTGAGCGGTATCATATTCTCTAGTAACTTCCCTGCTTTAAGCTTTTTTATAGTACTTCTGAAATTAAAATATATATTCACTTCTCTATCTAGTTATTACTGGTATCAGCCACTGAAATGTAAGCTACTACAGAACAGTCTTCCTCACTACTACTTCTTCACAAGGCCTGATACATAGTATATGCTCAATAAATTTTTTTTTAAATTCAAGGGAAAGGCAAAATGTATAAACAGCTTTAAGACAAAAAGAATTAAAAGCAATTGACTAGCCTAGCCTCCAGATAATCATGTGTATGCACAAAAGAGAGACAGGAATCTGAAAAGCGAGACAGGTCCATAAAGAAAACCTTAAGTCTTGCTCAGGACTTTAGGTTTAATCTCTAGGAGAATGAGGACCACTCAAAGACCAGGGTATATTATGATCAACTCTGCAGCTCTTGTCTATGTTTTCCCTTAATGAACCAAACAATACTGGAAGCTACTGCAATTAAATGATAACCTAACTGGAATGGAAAGATTTCTAAAGAACTGAAGAAATTACAGATACTACAATGGGATATGGGGATGAGAGAGAGAGTAAACTTAATGACACCTAATTTCTTGTGTGGACATCAGGATAGATGGAGATGATATTCATCCAGAGAATAAGACCTAGCAGAGAATCAAATTTGACAAGCAAGGACCTAGGAGCTCACCATCAGACCCAATGAGTTTGTGATGCCTGAAGGCATAAAACAAGAGATTTAACAGGCAACTGGACATACAGGAATGAAACAAAGAAAAAACACCTGACTAGAGCATTACAACTGTGTTGTTAGGGTATAGATATTAACTAAACACACACAGTGTATGAAATCACCCAAAAGGCAGGTGAAAAGTGAACTCTAAAAAAAAATCTGAAGAGACAGTAGAAGAGTATCTAAATTGAAGGATAAATAGTGTTTAAGAAAACAACATAGAGCTGTATTTCACACTGCAATTTTTTCTAACACATGCAGTTTTTCTAAAACTGCAGGGCATGCGATAAGTATGTTTCCATCCTTGAATCAGTCAACAGAGATCATTATCACCATGAATTCTATAATTTAGTCTACCCAGTAATCTACCAAATAATTGCATATAATAGTTTCACTAGTTTATCCAACAATCTACCAAATATTTTCATCAACTTCAAACCTTTGCGAATTCACATTTAAAAAGAGCATAAGCCAAAGTATAGACTTCTATCCTCAGGATTTCTCTATAGCAAAAATTTCAAGTTTTATCATTATTCTAAATTTCTAAAACATTTAAAAGTGTTATAAAACATACTCACATGCTAGAAAACCTTAAAACCATTATGGTAATCAGAAAATTGACAGCTTTATAAACACACACACAATCAGAAAATTGACAGCTTTATAAACACACAATTCAATATCTTCATTTATTCTTAATGAAGTTTAATCCAATGTGGCAATAGCTTTTAGTCCCTTAAAGGGAAGCAGTAATTCAACCACTCCAAATGCCCACATTTGTAACAATTCAAAATGCTTTCCTTCATAAAAACTAAACATTTACAAATGGCATTTATAGGTCTTTTCTAATGAAAACTTCCAAGTAAAAAAAAATTATTTATTTTACGGTTTAAGGCAGATTTTAGCAAAATGACATAGTATGGATTTAAAACAAATTACCTAGAACCCCAGACAATGATTCATACCTTGAAACATGCTTAAAAGCTTCCACTATAACTGGTGCAAAATCTTTTGTAAACTCTGGTCCCTTTCTTTTGCTGTTCTGAATGACATCATTGGCCAGGTAGAGAAAAGTAAGCTTCCTGTTTGGTTTGGCTGGAAAAAAAAAATTGTTAAACCTATTTAAAATATCCTCATTTAACTTGCACAAATGTTCTTAATACCTAAAATTAAGCAATTTAAAAGTTACAAAAAGCCTATTACCCTTTATTTATCCTGTTAAAACCCTAGCTTCTCATTCTGCTTATCAAATCACTATTTCTTAACTTACCAAGATAACAACTCTGTCTTCTGAAAACTAATCATGAAAAAAAAAAATTACTCAAAAGTCAATGATAAATTGTTCTGTTTCCTTGAAGTTTAATTATTTACTCTTGATTCCTAGAGTTTGCATCACCATTCCAAACTACTGGTTTTATGCACTGAAATAATCATGCCTGAGTAAAAATGTTTTAAAAAAGATTTTATTTATGTATGCATACAGAACTGGGGTTTAGGCCGGAGGTGCAGAAGCAGTGAGAGGAGTCACCAGGGACAGAGTGGAGAGGAGAACAGGCAGATATACTGAAATACACTACTGAGGGTAGTGAGTCAGGAAAGGTCTGCTGCGCCAAGTGGGTCGCCTTCCTGGACACTGATTGAACTTATGCTGCAGTGACTTTGGACAGTTTCACAATGCTGAGCTTTAACCCAATGTGCCACCAGGGAGGGCCCAAAAAATGCATTTCAGTGACTACCCCTATGTTAAATGTTATTAAAATAATTTGGTGATTGGTCATGTTATTAAGATAGTACCTTAAATTTTAAACTGAATTTATGATTGTTTTAACTTTCGTGCCCAGGCTGAATTTAAGAAAACCAGTCACTAAGATATTGTAAAACAAAAAAGTAAAAAACATAAAATAGTTTGAAAGATAAGTTACCAAGCTACAAAAAAATATAAGCTATTAGATAAACAATACTTACCAGTAAAATAATGACGAAAGAGCCATCAAATTTCACTAGTCATCAATTCATAATCTAACTTCATTCACTCACAATCAGAAAGTGATAGGCAGGACCAATACTTATTTTCGTGCATTGAACAGACCATATGCCTACTCATTTTGTTACAGTGCAGAATATCACAATCTAATCACTGATATTTTTATGAAAATTGAAATTTAAAGCCACAGTAGGTACATGCACTCAATTTTTATTTTGCTATCTATAAACAGAAGTACCCTCTTTCCAAGGGAAACCTTCCACAGAAAGAGAAACAAATAATTAACCTATTAAATGTGCAGAAACACACACACACCCCACAATGGTATCACTGAAGGTCTTAGGAAGAAATTTCAGGAAAAGTCATTATCTTCAACAAAAATCTACTGAAGATTTGTTGGCAATATTAGATGGTCTCATTTTATTTCCCTGGTAAAGTAAATTGCTGAAAACTAGACTTTTAAATATTCAATGGTTTTTTTTTAATAACTGTATTAGTTTATTTTTACATATTTTTGTGCATTTTTCCATCTCAATTGCAATCCCCTTGGGTTTCCCATCACCCATGTGCCATCACCATAGTCCAGTGCTTTTCCTTCCCGCCACTGTTTCTGATCTCATTCCCCACTTCACCCCCACAAAATGTCTCTGGTATACAGATATTCATCATTATCATTATTTTCTCGCCTGTTCCGTTATATTCCTGCTATGAGAGAAACCATCCGGTATTTTTACTTTTCTTTCTGGCTTATTTCACTAAGCATGATCTTTTCCAGCTCCATCCATATTGCTGCAAAAGACATGTGTTTTTTTTTTTTTTGATTCAACGGCTTTTAAGGCAGAAACTGCTCTTAGTAGTACATTCATTGCCATAGAAAGTATATTATCAATTGCTGATTCTAGAATGGACTCTTCTCTATCCCAAACAGGACAGAGTTCAGTCAGACACAAACAGCTGCTTCTTAATAATTGAGGTAGGAGAAAAATGGATAGAGCTGGTGTTTTACTGTAATACTGCCAAAATGCCTCAGACTTTTGATAGCTCTTTTTCACATTTCAAGTTATCCAGGAATGGAGCCTATCATTTCTTGCTTAACACCTTTGAGAGTTTCCACATAACATTTTATTTTTTTTAAGATTTTTTTTTAATTTATGCATACAGAACTGAGGTACAGATCAGAGGTGTGGGGGTGAGAAGATTCACCTGAGACAGAGTGGGGAGCAGGACAGGAGGACTGACTGAAATACACTGCTGAAGGAAGCAGCAGGCCGGTCAGGAGAGGTCTGCCGCACCATGTGGGTCACTTCCCTGGCCTCCCTGGCCGGGGATCGAACTCTTCCTGTGGTGGCTGCGACAGCATCTTAGTGCTGTGCTTTAACCTGTTGTGCCACCAAGAAGGGCCTTCCACAATAACATTTTAAATCCTTCCTATGAACCACAGGCCAAAAGATCTGTGGTTCACCCTACACACTGCTCTCTCTTAAAGCACATTACTTCTCTAACTTCCCACCTCTTACAGCATCCTTCACATCTCAGTTAAATGAGTTCCTCTAGTTTTTTTCTGACCACCCATCCACATAGTTAGGTATGCCTGTGTGCTCTTATAGCACCTATACTTTTCCTATAGAGCACTTATCCCACGCATATTTGTTTTTTATTTAATACAGTGCTTTTCAACTAAATTAAGTTTCATTAAGAATAGCTGTCAGTCTCATCTACCAACCTATGGAATCAAACCCAGAAAATAATTCACAATTGGCTCAGTATTTGCAAAATCAATGATTTTTTGGCCTCGACCTGAGCTTTTAATTATTTACCCATTTGGCTTCTGTTGTTAACCTTATCCAGCTTGGCTGAAAGAGAAACATAAAAAAAAAAATTACACTGTCCTCAGAAACCTCAACTTCAAATTCCAGATTATGAAAGACAAACTTCCTTATGGATCTGTTGTTCTTGCTGATTTTCAATGTATTGCATTCAAGTATTTCACATCACCACCTTTCCCATTTCTAGAATTCTCACAAATCAATACCTATAGGAAAACAAGTATCGAGAAAGGAAGATCAAAGAAACATAAACAATAAAACACTATCATTTACTACCTATTTGATTAAAATGAGAAACACTAAAGTTGGCAAGAACATGGGTAAGATTACATTTTTAGATACTTTCGGATATTAGTGGTTAAATTACAAATTAGAGCAATCTCTTAGAAATATAATTTTGCTAGTTACCAATCAAAACGTAAATGCACAAATGAAAATTTCACTTCTAGGAATTTATGCTACTAATTCATCACGTAAGTAAATGCACAAAGAAACCACCTAAGACTACTAAGAACAGTCCTACAAAATAATTATTGAAGTAATAAAAAGCACTCAAAGAAATGCACTGAAATCAACTGGCAATCCTCAGGTCTATATGTTGTCCATTTTGCCAATAAAAACAGGAAATACACGAGATGAACCTAGATCATCTTCCCATGACTAAAAACAAGAAAACTATTTTAAAACTACTGGGTTTGTATCAAGAAACACAAGCAACCAAAGACACTGTTACCAACCAAATAAGTAACCACCATGGTCAACAATAAGAAAGACATGAAAATCCATGGGCTCATAAAGACAGTGTAAGAATTGTATTTCAGGCCCTCCCTGGTAGCGCAGCGGGTTAAAGCACAGCACTAAACTAAGAAGCTAATGCCACTTCCTTATGAGTTCCATCCTGCCTGCCCCGGAGGAGACCACTTGTCACCGAAGGTCTCTCCTGACCCACCCACTGCTCCCTTCAGCAGTGTACTTCGTCAGTCGTCCTGTTCTGCTCCACACTCTGTCTCTGGTGAATCCTTTATCTGCCCCTGCATCTCTGGCCTGTATCCCAGTTCTGTATGCACAAATAAATAAATATTTTAAAAATAAATAAGTAAATAATAATAATAAAAAAGAACTGTATTTCAGAGTCCCCAATGGCTGATGAAAGAAAAATGTTCTTATAAAGAAATGAACATATGGGCCCTTCTGGTGGCACAACAGGTTAAAGCACAGCACAACCAATGAACGAAGCTAGCCGCAGCTGCTTCCACACAAGTTCCATCCCTGGCCAGGGAGATGACCCACATGGCATGGCAGACTTCTGTCTCACCCACTGCGCTCCTCAGCAGAGAGTGTACTTCATCAACCTGCCAGTTCTGCTCCTCACTCTTGTCTCTGGTGAATTCTCTTGCTGCCCTTGCACCTCTGGCCTGTACCCTTACTCTGTATGCATAAATGAATCTTTAAGAAAAAATAAATTATCGTATGTCAGAATGATTCATAATCATGTGTCAAACAAGTCACCTGGGCAGCTTGTTGAAGCACAGTTTGCTGGTCTGGCCCATGTATTAATACCTGAAACAGATGTGGGGCAGAGCCTAGTAACTTGCATTTCCACTAAGTTCTCCAATTACGCCAGGGATGCACTATGTACCTGCATTTTTGAGAACCCCTACTGTATATGAATTCTGAATAATAAATTCAGAGGGGAAATAATTAAAATTCATAACTTTTAACCCCTACTATTTTTGATTAAAGGGTCTGACCAACCATAATCAGTGCAATAAAATCATTAGGGAAAAGATGGGACTTTATAACAGATTCATAGTAACAGAATCCATTGATCAAATTTATCCTTAAACATAAAGCAATTTGACAATGTGTCTTTTAATGTAATGCAACAGAAATAGACAACACAGCCAATGAAATATTTTTAGAGTAATACCTTAAGGAGGGAATCAACCATATCAATAATATAGGCAATTTTATAGCCCATGTGACACTGCCCAACAAATACATTACATGACAAAAAGTAAAAAGAAGTGACGAATTTAAGAGACCAGATGTCATCAGTGAACTTTGCTGGATTTTATTTTAAACATTAACTATAAAAAGACATTTTTGGAGGAAATCTGGGCTGACAGAAACTGAGTTATAAATAATCAATAATCAAAGTTAACTTTGTTAGGTATGTTAGAGGTCTTAGTATTACATTAAGTTGTTACTAAAGGTCTTAATTTATGTATTGTGAATTATATATAATGAAGTATAAAGTTAAAATGACTTGAAGTCTGAGAGTT